CCACGAAATGGAGACCATCCAGCAGTAGATCTCTTTGATCTTGTGGAATGATCTAAATGTCGATGATTGTAGGTGCAACTCGCCGTATCTGCAGCAACTGCTCGCCGTCTCAGATGTCGACTCGACCAGTCCCAAGCTTGTGCTCGAGTACATGGACGGTGGGGATTTGCGCAGCTACCTCGACGCCAAGCGACTCGGTGAGCCCACCAAGGTGAACGTTTCATCGCTGCACGTCGCGTGGGTCATTGCGAATGCGCTCGCCGATCTGCACCACAACGGCGTCTACCACCGCGACCTCGAGAGCTACAACGTCCTTCTCTCCTCGACCAACTACATTAAAGTCGCAAACCTCGGCATTGACCTCGAGTCGGACGCAACGACGGGCAAGAGCACACCGTACTGGACCGCCCCCGAGGTGCTTGCGTCGACGAGCAACTACAGCTTTGCTGCTGATATCTACTCATTTGGCGTCATTTTGACCGAGCTGGACACGCTCCAACTTCCATATCACGACGCCAAGGGCCTCGGGTACTGGGGTATCATCGACGGCGTGCGACTTGGCAACCTCCGTCCGTCAGTAAGCGCAACTTGTCCGCCGTGGCTGCGAGACCTCGCCAACGCCTGTCTGTCGTTTGACCCGACGCAACGTCCGTCGGCGCTCATGATTGTCCAGTCGCTCCAAAAGCTACTCTATCGCAGCGAAGAAGAAAAGCTTTCGGCGCCTGCCGTGCGTGAACTCGAGACCAAGTTGGTCGAGCCTCGTGCTGTGAGCAGCCCTGTCGTACGTGTAGCTCAGCGAAGGGTTTTTGGTGGAATGACGCTGTGCCTCTAGGCAACCATATCTGCCGAGAACCCACAACCTTTGATCAAGCCACCGACGAGCGATGTGGCCAGCGACGCCGATACCGCGCCCGTTGCCGTCACGCCCACAACGTTGATCGCATCGACAGTGTCTCCGGTGGGACCAACCGCGCGAAATGTTGCTGACCACCGTCCCTCTAGACGATCTCAAATGCCAAGTCTGTGAGCACGCAAATCGTGTGTCAGCTTTGCCGTGTCTCCAACTCGCTTCTGCAGACGCACTGCCAAGGCTGCGCGAAAGAACTCGCTTCTGTTGCGTCCAAGCTCAAGATGCTGCTCAAGCGTCTGGCTGTTGCCAAGAAGAACGGATTTGAGATTGAGGACGACTATTTCTGTGGCGGCTGCGAGTCATACCAACCGATGAAGGCGACCTCCTGTGACGAATGCGACGATGCGCTTCCAGACGACCCCGAGAAGCTGCGTATCCTTGTGCTGCGCATCGAGCAAGCGACCACGTCCAAGGCCTAAAGTCCCAAACTGCACGTCTACGTATTCTCCACCATGAAACGAGGCACTTGCATTCTTTGAATATACGACTTATGGACAGCTCCAGAGCAACTCTCCTAACAAGGAAAACAAACACCAACGTTCAACCAAGCGTCGAATCCACAGTCCATTCAACCACAAGGGCGCCGAATCCACGTGGAGTGAACAGTTGCGTACATTCCACGGGATTCGACATAAAGAAAGTTGAGAACTGATGATTGGTCATCAAACTAAACCTACCCCTAGGGGTAGGTTGGGGTAGCCTTCGGACACGACCGAAACATGGAGATTGTGCGAGCTCTTCTCGCTGCCCAGAAGACTACACCGCAAGCAGCCAATGGTCTTTTCGGCCGGGAGAACGACGCACCAAACGTCGCTACAGACG